AACTTAGGATCTTGTGTGAAACACCCCCATATCTCATATGTAGGTCTAACCGCCCTTTCTACGAAAATCGGATTGCAGAAGAATCTTGTAATGTGCACCGGGCTTCATAGTGCAGTTCTATACAGATTTATTAATTTAACATTTCAAATTGACAATATTCTGCATGCATATTTGACATTAGAGCTTTATATTTACATTACTTTGAACACAAGGATAAATCAAAGTCTGATCTTAATATTCGTGTATGGCTTATCTCAGGTGTAGACAATTGTTAGTGTGTGCGCGTGTGTGTGTGGGGGGCATTTTAAAGTTAGGGGATGCCCCCTTGGAAATGCTGTATTCATAGGCGCCCCCATCTCCTTGACTCTCCGATCCTGTATTTCGTAGGCTCCATTGGGAATTTTGATGAACACAACTATTGGAATTTAATATCTACACATATTCACAATACGTTTTTTTTTTTTTTAGTTGATGTGAATTTAAGAGAGCGTAGCGTAGCGAGCAAGGAAGATTACCACTATTGAATGGTAAAACTTAGAATCTCTAGAGCATGTACCTTGTAGCCTTTACTTACTCGTTAGCTGCTATAGGCCTTTATTTTCTATTTCCTCCAAAATGTTTCCGAGGGCATCCCCCTTATATGTTTCGAAGGGAGGCGTGCGGCCCCCACCCCCCACCCCCCCCCCCCCCCCCGTTGGCCCTCCCTCTCTGAGAGACTTATAAGATGATTGTGAAATACATCACTTGAGGGCCTGATCCAAATCTCTCCCATTCCTAACTCCTGTAACTCCATCCACAAAACATGTTTATTGTTTTCACATGGTCCCCCATTACTTTTTATTGATAATCAAAAATACAGGCGCCGATTCGAAACATGAACATAAGCAATATGTTTGCATTTATCCTCGAATATCAACTTCTCCATCAGCCTTTCTCACTCAAAATTCATCATATTACCAAATTGATGAATACCTTGCCAACAAGTTCGTGACCGCAATTACACAAACAACTGCAGTTCGTGTCCATGGTGCATGCGCACTGGACACTTTCAACATGGATATCTGTAATTCTGGCTGCATTAGACGGCATAGCGGCCGCCTCCCACGTCGACCGGGGAAGTTGCGGGGTACATGTCCGTAGCCAAGGGGTACAGGTTTTCAAGGAGCATCAAAGAAGGCGACAGAGAACCTGTTAGCGAGAGGAAATATTTTGTACGCCACGGTGTAATTCTCGTTTTGAAATGAAACAGTTTTTAAAACGGCTCGATTTCTAGAGATTAAACAATAACAAAGAGAATCGGACCATTATAAAATTACTTCACTTCCAACGTCTGAGGTGAAAATTATTATTTTCGTTTTTGATTTGATATTCTTGTTTGACAATCGAGCATTAGATTAAAATGAATTATCAATTTACAATTAATTTTTTACCTTCGTTATGGCCTACCTTTTTAACTCTTCAACACACAATAAAACATGAATTCAAAGTCGATGCTTCTGATTAAGGAGGTTGCAGAAAGGGTCTGGTATACTATTCTCTCTCCCCTCCTCTCTTTCGCCCCCTCTCTCTCCCCCCCCCCCTCTCTCTCTCTCTCTCTTACTCTCTCTCTCTCTCTCTCTCTCTCTCTCTATGTCTCTCATTTATTTTCGCTATTCGATTGGTTGCAAGTACCTTCCGTGCCCCCTCCTGATATGGCTTCTGATGTGTCACATGTTATAGGCAACATGTGTTAACAGCAAATTTTGACAATTTTGATAATAACTAGAGCTAAGTACTTACAATCGGAAGTTTGCGCGTAGAAGAGTTAAAGATTACACACAAATATGAAATCTTGAAGTATTAATATAAGGACACTTTTCCTAAATAAATGTTTTGAATAACCTATTGAAAGTTGAACAAGTTTTCTTTTGCTTTTTTTATTGTATAGTTTTGTTTTCGACAACATTAGAACTACCGGTACATGATTAATTCTAAGGATGATAACATTTACGTGAACCAGTTTTTAATTCACAGCACGGCAATACCTTACATGCCAAGCCACATTAACATCCTCATGAATTATTCATGACATGGAGTCTCAAAGCCATCGTGGAATAACAGGTGTCATTCATACGGTATCAATAGGGACTTTTAGATTTGCGTGGACTGATAAGTTTGACGTCCATTCAAGGCAGTGCATTAAAAGGACGTCGACCGAAGCAATCCACGTTGTCGTTGTGCAAATCTAAAAGTCCCTAATGTGGCCTGTATACATCATTTCTACGATCTTGGCCAGGGCATGAAAAAAACCTACACAAAATAAGTTATTTCCGGGAATTGTTAAATAAGTGACCAAACACGATCACAAAAAGTTCGAAAAATCAAACTAAGGCTATTTCAGTAGCCTTATTCATAACTCTTTGAAGTATGTGAACAGTGACGGATTACGTAACCCGAACATGATTTCTATAGGGTATACTATACGGTATTGAAATTACCCTTGTAATTGAATTTATTTCTTAAAAATCTTAAAGTTCATACCTTCAATTTTACAATATACGGACTTATATTTTGTTGGAATTTATGCGTTATCAACGAAAAGTGAGTATGTGAAACCAATTTAAACACCATATACACCAGCTGCCATACTGTAAGACATGTATGAAGATGTTGCTATGTTGGGCAAATATCAGACGCATAGATCTTTATCATTGGTCTGTTTAAAATCTTTGCAATAGCTGAGAAGATAATTTAAATGAAATACCAATGAAAATGATTTTTATATCCCACAACAACAAAAGATAACAAATATCGTAATGTTACAAAATTCATGAATGGTAAACTCTACATACCGTCTAATTTATATAAAAATCCTGACTTTGTTTTTTATATAAACTGCTAAATGCGCTTTAAAAGCGAAGAATTATTATTTTACTTATTATTTATAGAATAACAGAAACGGTAAATTTCCCTCTTTTTTTAGAAATCTAACTTGCCTGTCTGTGCACGAATTTGCATAAGGAATACATTCCTTTTCACTTTGAATGTCGAAACATTTAAGAAAAAATACTGTACTAGTTTTTATCAATTTCTTTAGAAAACATCATTTTTTTCTTGAAGAGTTTGTACTCATAGCGAAGAAGAAAAAATACTAGTAGTAGAAGAAAACGAAGATGAAGAACGAAGAAGAGAATAATAAGAAGAAGAAGAAGAAGAAGAGGAGGAAAAAGAATTGATCATGATTCCCTGACGACTTGGTATAAGGTGTGTTTAACGCTCATATAAAACATGTGATACATAAGTTAGACCAGTGCATTGTATGTAGATTCGACATTCTAGTTTTATATATCAAAATATTCGTATTCGTTAAAATATCTTTCAATGCATTTCACAAGAAAAAGAAAGTAATTTTGAATGTAAATTGAAGCACATTGCAGAATAGAATTTAAGTTTAAGAGTGCTATGCCTCTTATACCGTTAATTACAACTTGTAAAAAGGATCAGAACATACACAGTTGTCAGTTTCTTTAGGTGCGAATAAAAAGTTGATAGGCAAGCTTGCCTAACATTTCACTGGTATTGCCACGCCCAAATTGATTTGAATATATTAAGCTTTTCTCTGGCAAGATCGGAAAGATAGGTAAGGTCAAAGGATGGGTTCGTCGTCTATTCTTCGAGGTTTCAGTTGAGGAAGCTTTTTCAAGGCCGTTCGCATTTAGATAATTGAAACATTTAAACTAATGCATGGTTGAGAAGGTTTCTATTCTTATTTTGGAATCTGAGGTACGCTGCCTTTTCCGCTCGGTAAAACCTTTAAACACTGCATGCTTTTTTGTTAGGAAAAGAAAAAAGGGTTGCACTGCGTTGAGTGGACACTCATATCTCATGACTGTTTTCGCTGTGAAAAAAATGGAGCATGGTCTATCAAATAGCTGTGATTCGAATCCTTCAAACGGATACAGTTATTCTTTATCCTACGTTTACAATATGGATACAGGTTTAGTGGAGGCACATCCGGCAACTAGCACCGAAACCATCATGCCAGCGGCTGGTAGCTTCAGCAGCAGCTCTGCCGCTTCTTCCCGGGAGCAAGCCGGAGGGTTGGTCTTGCCTGCTGGAAATGGGTATCACAGCGAAGTGACCACATTGGGCAGGGGAGGAGGTGGGGATGGCGGAAGAAATGGACCTGAGTCGGGTCAGTTTGGCAATTCTCAAGAATTCAACCACCAGGGGAGTGCTAATTTGCAGTCTGAAATATCCCAAAATAGAAGCTCTTCGTTTACTAGTTCTGCGCAGACGACACACCCGATAAGCCTTTCTGTATCGATAGCCGACAACGATAACGAGCTTTATGTTAATGTTGGAGATGAGGGCAGGCATGATTTGAACGGAAACGATTTTTTAAAGAAAGTTGTCGAAACTTCGCTTGGGAAGATATCATATTCTCATTTGCCGAAGCATCAAGAATATCGGGCCGTATCGCTTGAATATGACATGATTGAGGAGGAGAACGGTCCCGTGAATGAATACCAGTTCTCAAACCAACATTCTTATCAGGACATCGTCGCGGCTACCGAGATACTTCGTTACGAAGAGAGAGAACATGAAGCGAATATGATTTCTATTATAGATGCGCACAAAAGCCTCAGCTCGAGTATGGCCCCGGTCCCACAATTTATGAATCGCCCGACGTCGGACGCGCCGCCAACGAATTATGCTTTGTCTTCGACGAATCTTGTCGTCGTCGATCTACCCCGGAGAGCGGAACAATGTCCAGAAAATGGAGAAATCATTTATGTACAAGTCGATGATGGATCAGATGTTTCCTCCGCTAAATCAGCTCGAATGCCGATGGCGACTAACGAATCTGATAAAAATGGATTGCTCATCCTCGTCTATCAGCGAGATCAGATAACGAAACTTTCGTGATAGACGACGGGATAGATTCGGCGGAGTCGAGAGTGACTGAGGAGCCCTTCGTTGATTATTCCGCCACGGAAAAGAATGACATAACTGACGAAAATTATGGCGCGAAGATGGACCGTGCTATCGTTTCTAAAAAGGGAGAATTTCGGGAACCTCCGCGAATTAGCCGCCAGCTGGGAATGTTTGGAACAGATGAACATGTTGATAGTCAACAAAAGGATAATAATGACTCGCCAGCTGACAGCGAAGTTGATTTTCATAGTGGTGTTTCATTACATTCGTCAACACCAACAACATCAATGGATAATTCTCATCGAGGACGAATATCATCACAGCATTGCCAGCTTATTGATGGTGTTTCGACGACGGTGGTGATGTCGTCGACGACGACGTTGTCGAGATCATCGGGGGATTGTGACCACGACCACGCGAGCCGTGGTGTGATACCGGCTTGTAGCAGTTTGACGGCGTTCGGCGCCCCGTCTACACAGCCCATCAAACCGGTCGCCCTAAGCGCTTCTCTACCTCTTTCTCATCAACTGATCGCGTACGGGATGACAGGTGTCTCGTCAGCCGTACCTCCCCCGATCCATCCTCAGCCTATGCTTCCCATCCCTCTACCACCACTTGCCGTTTTTGCGCACCCTATCCACCTGTTCCCAGCTCCCCTTCCTTGGCATATCCACAGCCATGTCTCGGCCGGACCAGTACCTCAGCGAACATCCGGACGATATCCGACAAACTGTCCTCATTTTATCCATTCAACAACCACAACAAACACGACAACTGCGTTGAATTCTACTGCACGACTCGCTGCGAGCTACCCGCTCCTAAAGCGTGGCCGGCGGCCTCGGCGCCAACCTCTCACAAACATCGAACCAACTCCGCAAGAAACGAACCCCGACGAGACAGAACTGCCAATAACGAAACGAACTGAAGCAAATGCGAGGGAAAGAGATCGCGTCACCTATCTCAATGGCGGGTTCGAACAGCTTAGAAGAGTTTTACCGTGGGCGTATCGCGGTGGTCGTCGAGTAAGTAAGGTCGACACGCTTCGAGCAGCGATCTCCTATATCCAATTCTTACAGGGCATGCTAGTCGGAGCCGAGCTGTCGCCTGCGGAGACGATCCGGCTGAGAAATGGCATTGTTTTAGGTAAGCGATCCGTCTCATTTGTCTTTGAAGTTATGTCAGTATTTATTCTATTTTTCTGGAAAACAAAACAAAACATCGACAACAAAAAACAATGAAACAAACAAACAAAACGAACCCAGTAAACATAAACAAAGCGAATGAAAACAACTAAAACCTTTTTTTCATAGGAGAAGCTCGCCGGCAATGCAATTATAAAGTTGGACGATAATATATTGAGAATCATAACATTCATAATTTCATGCAACGATCAAACTTAAAGGTAATACCAGTACTCACTATACATGCAAAATGTGGAAATTGTTGTTCTTCTTGGTGTATTTATAATTTTGTGGTACTGCTAGTGATGAATATTCCTGTAATAGTATGATAATTAATATGAAGATAATATAATAAAATGAACAAAAATCTTAGTTCATATTATAACCAAAAGGAAAGGCAATTTGTTATATAAATCGTCATGAACACTAGCAGAGTTGTATGAACGATTTTTAATAGTAATTAAAAAAAGTGTTATATCAAAGACAAATGGTCTGAAGACAGTCTTAAATCTTTGGAACATTGAATCTTCAGTTAGTTTTGAAATTTGTTTTGTATTTAAAGCCAATTCAAAGAAACTAAAAATGACAATAAAAATTCATACACATGAAATGTCAAATAATACATACAAAATTAATCGTAAGCGTGAAGAATCAGACTGCAACTAATGCTAAATAAAAGAAGCTCTAAAATTCATGGTTTAACCAGCTAGCGTCATTCATATCGCTCACTTGAATTCATAAGTGCAATGCATTTATGTTATCAAGTTTTATTATTCGTTCTCTGCATAAAATATTATCACGTTTGGTCATTGTATGTTTGTTTTTATAGAATGCCAGAAGCTATAGGTAGTGCGAAAACGTGCTTAAGTCGACAAAATCGACGTTCAGTGCCCCTCGTCTTTGGGAAATAACGAGTGTGGATTAATTTGAAGCAAATGTTGGTTTTAACAGTGGTTAACGTTAACAACAAGAAGTGTCGAAGGTCAAGCAATTATTTGTTTTGAATGTTTTTATTGCAAAATAAGTTTTACAGGCATGACAACCGAAATTACGGGCATAATAATACAAGCCTAGGCAAGGAGTTTGCCATTGCTTCGTGTCTGGGTGGTGAGCGGCGAAATCTAAAGCAAAAACAGATGCTTTTATGATCGTGGGCTAAAAAATGCTTGGTGCTGCATTCACTACTTATTATGATACACTTAGCCTTTTAGATGTGTGTTTAATCCCGCAATGGGCCATTTCTAGACACTGGGCAAGACATAAGATTTTGTATTTCAAATTTTCGAGTAGCCATCGATGTAAATTGGGAGGAATTGTTTTCATATTTAAAAAAAAAATACACGTTCATACACCTTGGGATAAATGACTTTATTTTGTAACAATTCATAGATCAAAAGGCCCGGGAGGTTTCTTGGCAATTGTTGTTGGCATTTTTTTTTGTTGGGGGAGGGGAGGGGGGGGGGGGGGGTTGTAGTCGAAGTGTATCATGAATGTAAATATTTCAGTTTAGAATAAATAATGACCGCATTAATGTCAAACCTAGATTTCAGTCGAGGTTTCTGCAACGTTGTTCGTAATTATACATTCGATTAATGTTGTTTTAAAATCCGAATGAAGGACACAAGAATAAACAGGTAGGGGAAAAACCTTGTAAATTTCTTTTTTCCATTATTATGATCGTTTATCGGAAAGTACAATAAATTAAAGGATAATAAAACATGTATTTTAATATTGATGAGCTTCAGAGGCAACTTTGTTTAGAAAAAATATCTGTGCCCCGTTTTATTTGATTTGATCAAATTTCATGCACGAATTTTCAGACAAACGTCTTGAAAACCTCCAAGTCTTGTATGAGGTTTGTTTGATCTAGCAACATAGTGCATGCAAAATGAGATTAATAAACAACAAACCTTATACATGTAACTGAATGAAATCACCTGCCACCTGTTCTAGGAATCAGAAGCAACATTTCGAACACTTGAGGAGAATGTGCTACCGCTTTTCTTTATAGAATGATAAACCTGTTTACTAACGTAGTCAAATTTATGGATGTTTCTTGCTTGGGGACCTAGTGACGAGTTATTCCGTTAACCTGTTATTCATGAATGAACTAAAATACGAGGAATCCGGTCTGCATACATTGCATGTTGGTATGTCGGACAAGCCTCGGACAAGATTTCAGGTTGACAAGAACAACCTTTGTTTATAAAGTATGCATACAATTTGAATATGTTGGTAAACCGGTCTGTTGGCGTACATAACAAGCTGGTGGATGTCAATTCCTTGCGTCTGGGAGATTCTTGTAACATTGGTTTATGTTCATTGCCAGGAGGTGTAAATTTCCACCATCGAGACTTTCTGAAATGTACCTCAATTGGGTCACATCGAAACAAAAGGCACAGGTGGTGGTTAAGGTCACAAAGGTCAAACATGTACCTGCAATGTAAATTACCTGGCAGGTGGATTACTGTTCTAAAACAAGGATTGAACTTCGTGTTGAACGTTGACACATTTCCATGGATGATCATCCGATCTTCCCAGATTATAATGAATTAAGGGAAGAAGAAAAAATACTGAAAATTTAAACAGAAAAGATGCTTTAAAGGATTAAGGGACTGGCCACTGGTACATTATAGTAAGAAGAAAAGGAAATAATAACAGTATGAATACGTGACAAAAGCAGTCATCTTTATTTTATATTTCTATATAAAGACAATTTTGTGGCAAAGATAGTCAACTTTGACTAATTGCCAAATAAAACCAAACGAAGAAGAAGAAAAAAGTGAATACTATCACACATAAACTTTAGATTCCTGTATGGGCTGGAAAGGCAGAATCGATGGATTTGTAATGTCACTTATTCTGAGTTAAAGAGAGAACGAAGACCTCCTTTGTTTCTTGACATACACATACTGAAGCAACTTGTCAACACAGTTGGGGATCAAATTATATTTTCAATAACATAATAATAACAATATCAGTGTAACAGTAATCAATTTTCTGAATCTTGTGACGGAGCGTGAAGTGCCCAACAGGGGCAAAAAGTGGTTCTTATGTATGGTCAAAAAGACTTGGGGGATGGGGGGGGGGGGGAGGGTTGAGTCCCCACTCAAGCGTAATGATTAGTATTAAATACCGTCCACATTTATCCCCTGTAAATGGTGCCAGGTAGAATTGTCGAGAGGAAAATAAAGAGTCATTTTTATCTGTGACATTGCCATACTAAACTCTACAAATATGTCAGTTTATTAAAATTCAGTTGATGAGTTGCAATACATTCTTGTTAAGTTATATCTCCTCATTAAGTTTCCTTTAATTTGTGCAAATATGACGATTGCTGATGTTATCATGGTGATTTCGTTCGCAAACTGTATAACGGGTTTTGTTTCTAGTTTTAATACTCGGTGTAACCTTTGCCTGATTCTATGACAATCATTTTTTTCGTCATCATAAAAAGCAAGATCACCTATAACATAAAAAAGTCGTCGTTTCATTTTAGTCAATGCAGTAACGTTTCGTTTCCCTTGTCATATTTCTTCAAGTCTTTCCTACTTTTCATTTATTTCATGCATTCTATGCATTGTCGAGATTCAATTTTTAATGCCAGTTTTAAATTTACATGTCAGTTTTATTATCGCCATTATTGTTATTATCATTATTTTTGTATTTTTTTGTATCTTCGAATGTATATATTTGTTATGTTGCTTGTATAAGTATGTCACTCGCCAGGGGAGGATGAACTTCTGCATTTTTTTAATCAGACAATAAATTATCTTGAATCTTGAATAATTTATCAAACTTTTCTCTTGTCCAATCTAACCCTCAGAGAATACCGTGCGGATAGTCCAGAGCGTTCAGAAAGCCCCCTACCCCATCCTTCCCCCTGGGTATCGTTTTGTCAACCCACCACCACCACCACCACCACCACCTGCAGCCCCAGGAACACACCCTTCTCTACCAGTACCAGCATCAGGACCACACCCAACACTACCCGTCCATCCTACACTACCTCTACCTCTACCGATGTTACCCCCTCAGCCGCTGTCCAACCTACCTCCCTTCACGCATCTGAGATCTGGTTATGACGGCCAGCCCTTCCAAGCGGTAAATATATTTCATTTACAAATGCTTATTAAATATATTGATGTGAGGTACCCCTTACCCCACCCACCCCCCCCCCTCCACCACCACACAAAAAAAGTGTTATTCTTAAACATATTCAGATGAAGAAATAGCTGTACAACTGTGTAGAAAAATTCAAAATAACAATTTTCCTAATTGAAATTTAAAGTTGGTTATGCTTAGTAAACTGAGACCTTACTATTCCCCATTGGTTGGGGTACATACAAATCGGATAACATTTATGTTATTTCTGCAAGGGGGGGGGGGGGGTCGTCGTGTTTTTTTTCTCCATGAGGTTCATAAATCCAAAAATTTACCATTCCCGCGCGAATGTAATTCCGAACATAAATGTATTATTCAGAAAGTTTGTTATTCTAAAGGGTTGTAATTCCCCAAAAATACAGAATTCTATTTCAGAAAGAGCGGGAAGGAGAATAAAAAGAAAAAGAAAAAGAAGAAGACGAAGATGAAGGAGAAGGAGGAGAAGAAAAAGAAAAATATAAAGACAGCAAAAACAAATCTTCGGATATCCCGGGCCCTCTTTTCTTCTTCCAGCGCAATGTTGATCGGTGACAGGGTCCGCATGATCTCGTAGTGGAAGTCAACGGCATCCTTGGTTGTAATTTCCGGGTGGTATAGGGCAAGCGAATGCAAGATAAAGTAAAACAGTTTTTGATTGGATTGAAACGACGTTCAGCTGTTTCCGGTAGAAAAACACAAGTTTTTTTCCGAAGATGGCGCCCTGCTGGTTTTACTAGGGTTCTTACAGATTAGATCTACTCATGATAACACTGATATGAGACGAGTTCAACTGCCCCCAAAGCAGTCTCAATGTGACCAAGCTTGGCTTGTTGTTACAGTCTTTGTACAGCGGCGGATTAAGTGGGGGGGGGGGGGGCTCATGTCCAACCGCTTTTGAATCCCAAGTGTTTTACTTTCATTACACATAAGTCACCAATCCTAGTCAAAACTCTGATTTTTTAAAATAAATAAAACTTCTTTATTGTTATTGGTTTTATTAATGTTATGCATGTTATTTATTGATTGATTTATACAATTAATTTTAGAGAGTGGGGGGGGGGGGGGGGTTGTCCAAGGACTTGGGAATGGTTAGGCACACAAATCTTGATGACCTATATTTGCTTTTGGTAAATTTATAGGAGTGTTACGCCCTCCCCCCCCCCTATCCTGGACCTTACTTCCACTGCATGATTCGACCACGTTTGACATGAAATTACACACTTCTGCATTTCTCTCATCACTGTTATGTTCTGTTGCGTACTTTCACATAAGTTGACTGAATTTCCCATGTTGTTATAGACTTGTAGATAATAGAATCTTCCTGACTTTTGCCAAACCTGTTTCATTTTTTGCTTACCTTCATCATGCTTTTATTACATAATTTTGGGAGATAATGTCTATAGTTGTACATGAATTTTACCTGATTGTCCCCAAGTTCAAACCTAGTTCGATTGAAAATGGAATTGATTACAGATTGTCAAAATTTTTCAGCTATTATATTTGTTTAAAAAATTAAAGTAGTGTAACTACATATTGAAATTATACTGAAAATATCCTTTTCACTATTTCGATTCTCCTTAATATTTTCTTTTATTTGTTTTTCAATTGTTTGATCTTGGTTTATTGGAGTAAATTATTGTGATTCAAGTTTTCACCTTTTCTAAAAAAAAATAACTTTAACATCTTATGAAGATGAAGAGTGTCTTGTTCGCACAAGATCATAAGCAATCATGTTTTCTCCTCCTTTCATTATCCCAAACTCTAAAACGTCTCCACGAAACCCTTTCCTCTTTATTCCTCTTTTTTCTCCTCCTCCTCCTCCTCTTCTTCTTCTTCTTCTTCTTCTTCTTCTTCTTCTTCTTCTTCCTCCTCCTCCTCCTCCTCCTCCTCCTCTTCCTCCTCATCCTCCTCCTCCTTCTCCTCCTTCTCCTCCGCCTTCTCCGCCTTCTTCTTCATCTTCATCTTCTTCTTCCTCCTCTTCCTCTTCCTCTTCTTCTTCCTCTTCTCCTTCCTCTTATTCTTCCTCTTATTCTTCCTCTTATTCTTCCTCTTCTCCTCCCTCTTCCTTGTCTCTCCTTCACTGTCTCCACAAGAAAAGTCCATGCAAAATGCATTCTTCTGCAACAGGCTATTTCGTTCGCTCCTTACTCCTGGTGCGTTTTCAAATCTACTTGAAGGTGACAATGCGAACAATAATTTAGTAATAAAAACAAAAGGCGTCAAATAAACAGGTCAATTGCTTACAGTAAGATGGCGAGTGTTCTTAATTTGTTTCTATATCCATTCCCGCCTTTAAATGCGAAGCAAGGACAGTCCACATGAGTTCTAACACGTACCAATCGTCGGAAGAATGGAGCGTGCCGGCTACGGTATGCCAGGCTCTCACCCTCCCTGTGCTTCCCGCGAGCATGCCGCTGTGGTGCCGCTTGTCGGCACCTGTTTTTAACAACTCGGTTTAAAAACAGACGGCGTTCGTGTATGGTATCGTTTTGGGAATTTAGGCTGAGACTTAACTCGCGCCAAATATTGGATCCTTCATTTCCATTTTTGTTTTCATATGAACGGTGATATTTGCTAACCATTGCAACGAAATAGACGACGGTCACAACGCCATGTTTTAAATAGAGATAATAATAATAATAATAATAGTGGGTTCTTGTATAGCGCTCATGTCATAAGATGAATGATTAAAAAGTGCATTAACGAACATGAAAAAATGGCGCCCCTGTAAACAAGAGACAGAGAGGCGTTGGAAGAAAAAAAAACATGGACATTTACTAAATTGCGTGGTATGATCTTGATCTTATGTTTATGTCGAAAAAATTATAAAGGTTTTTGTGTAGAGTATCTCAATCTGATCCTACCGTTTTTTTCTCAATATTTTGAGCCGATTTCCTCATCCTTTTCCGTATTCAAAATATAACGGTTTGAAAATCTACATGAGTGTCTTCCAGGTATGAATAGACTCCAGTTCAAGTAGTTAAAATAAATCAAACGCAGTTCAAATTACTTATTTTTTCAACTGATGTCTATACTTAACGAATATAAAGTAAATGGTATTTGTATAAAACAATCCAACTACTTGACTTCATTTAAAGTGCAGCGAAAGGCAATTCTACATTAGCAATATCTTATAGGTGTTGATAGGGCAGGGTTGTAAGAGCTATAACTATTCATCATGTTCAAGTATTGAACCAACGTGACGTGACGTAAATACCTGTACATGATCATGTGATAGACTTGTTATCCAATCAGGATTCAATTTGAGAAATGTAACAGTCGCCAAATGTGCCTGATTCGATTATCCACCAATTCAACTTTGTTCTTGTGATCCCTCTGCGAGAAGCAAATCTAATTTCAATACCCATCCTGGCGTTGGTTTATTTGGTATGTGTTTCTTTATAACATGGTCCAGCTGCGAGGGTAATTCGAATAGATTAAAAATGAACGCTTAGATTTTCCTTGTAACATTTTCACCTAGTATTTTCATACTTAATGCAATTTATGAGAAGCTGCCTTGTTTGTTGTAAACAATTTGTAAGCTTATCTGTTTTAAATTGGTTATTAGAAAATGCAATGGTATCGCATTGCGCTGACGTCGTCACCTTTTTTAAATGACTTTGTGATAAGTAATCAGAAAAGGTGTTTGGAATATTCTCTTTCTTTCGTTGCATCCGTTTGAGTATAAAAATCACTATTTCCTTTTTAAAAATAATAATTATATTCTATTACTGTTAATTCATCGAATATAATTATAACTTGAAAGAATATTCGATAATTCACTTTTTGATTAATTGTTTGTAAACGAGTTTAAACGAAATAGATTATGGTTACTACTCAGTGTCGATGACTCATGATTTAAACTGAGAATGTTCGGACAGTTGCTAGACTTATCATATTTTCAGTTTACTTCAACTTCGTCATTTTCACAAGCTAACATTCCATGGATTATTGGTTCTTGCCTTGTATGGCAGGTTGAATCATGTTTATATTATTACAAATTTGCGTCTGTTTTCTTAAAATCAAATGTCATTTTCTGAAATAGAAACCTTGTGTTTTAGAAAACAACCTCGTACAGGTTCGCTAAACATGGAGCTATGAGTAGGCTTTAACCCCACAGGAGTCGGGGTGAACCGTTACCCCTCGTTAAAATGCAATATCATAGTCGCACCCCACGTCGAGAAGGGCCAAAGTTTTCCCAAGAATGTTTGGCAGGGGAACATGGGATCATTACAAACAAATCACTTCTGTTTAGTAGGTGAATGTACCTCACCAAAAGCCACTGTATCATGTGGTTTATTTCTCGTTCCCAGAATCCTTGGTTTGTTTTTCATTTTTGTCATTATTTATTACCTCTAACAGAAAACATTGCTGATAAAATGCGCTTAGAAACATTGTATTAAGCGCTTTATGAATGTAATATATTAATATCATAAAGATTATTTGAGGGAAAGTTAAAATGGATGATCATTCTATAGGACAGTATAAGATAGATTGGTGATTTTGTGGGAGAAAATGAGATACATTACATTTCTTTTAACTAGAATTCGTTTCTTATAAATCACAAAGGATAACGTGATTTTTCATTACAAATATTAGCATGTACACCCTGTATGATTATGGAGGTGAATGTATCATGCCGTGAGCCACTGATTCTCGTTACTTATTTCTCGTTTCCAGATTCTTCACATTCCCGCGAGAAATTATTATTTTTCTTATAAAATAAAAAGTGAAACGAAGAATCGCCCGAGGCAGAGTTATCACGTTTGAATATTCGAAAGGAAAGTTGAAAATAAAGTGAGCAATATTATTGAGAAAGCGGAGATAAGATATGTTCCTTTGCTCGAAATTCGTTTGTCCAACAACGCGTGGCTTATATGATATATTGACAGAAAATTATATCTCACAAACAAATCATATATGTTTAGTATGTGAATGTATTATAGCGTGAATGACTGTATCATCTAGGTAGTCTCCTGTTTTTTAATATCTCCAACTTTATTCATATCATTGCCAGAACTCATTGTTATTGTTTAAACAATAATAATTCAAAATCATCCGAGGCAAAGTTATACAAACTGGGTAATCGATCAGAAGTGCAAAGCAGATTTTGTGACATTATTAGGAAAACAACCATGAAATATATTTCTTTTACAGAATGTTCGTTTATCATAGACAAATTTAGAATAATAATACAGTCATATCTATCATTATTTAAAAACATAACATGTCTGCTTAAGATGATAATATAACAATATGGGAGCCACTTTATTTCGAAATTTCTTTCTCGCGAAATTTCTTTCTCGTTCCCAAAATGAACAGCTTTATTTCCATTTTTGCAGGGAATCGTTAATTGATCTTAATCATTGTTGATTAAGGATGGTCAGAGTGAAGTGATAGCAATACTAATGCCATGATTTGAGGCAATTTGTTTTTTTCTCCAAAATGTATGTCTTCTTTTACACAAAACAAAACAACACAAAGATAAAGATTAGTTCCATGATAAAGATTAGATATGAAATTTAAAAATGTTTGAAGTTCGGAGAAAAAGTACAATAAACAGTGAGTGACATTACTGGGGGGAAAAAAAGAAGAAAAAAACACACTCGTTTCATCAAAACTCGTTGAATTTATGAAGACTATGTTGATCAAAACATGTTATTTTGCCAAATATTTGAACGATGCATGCTATGTGTATAATGTGTCAAGTCAATATAATTCGAATGAATTCGCTTATTAATAATTGAATCTGAAAACTCGCTGAAACGATCAGTATGCTTGTTTCTTAGAACAAAACTGAGTAAAATTACAAGGAAAATCCGACAATATATAACGTTAAGAGTCATATTATACTCTCAGTACAACTTCTTCCACATTGTTTAAGTTCGGTGCACGAGTATGATGATAGGGTCATGGCGGTAGCGGAAAAATGTTACATTTAGGCGGGAAAACCACGCGGTGCCTGTGGGGGAGGTCTGTTTGCGAGATGGTGATAACAAGTCACTCCTCCTACCACGATACCACTCTAAATCAAATCAGATACTTCTTCTTTTCCTCCTCCTCCTCCTCAATGGCATCCATCTTCAGGTGAGACTCGTTATTGGAGGAGTTTACTGCAAGAACGTGCTGAGTCGTTCTTATTCTGGTTTGGTGTTTCGGAGTTCCATCGCCCATTGTAACTACAAATCGCTAAATATGACTACTTTCCCCCTTTTTAAAGGCATCGTTTAACAATGTTAAATCTGAGATGCATGGCCCTACGTGTTATCAGTGTCTGTGATATGGTGTAATATTAAAGCCTTAAAACAAAAATTGCACTTCAAAAGGATCATGAAGTACCTCAAAAAAGTAAAAATCTTTGAGTGACCGGTTTTACCATACTCATTTTTCCCAATTGACTGTAGTGTTATAAAAACCGTTAGGAAAACGAATTCTGAAATTTCTAATTCTAATCATAGATATCTTGATAATCAGACAGGCGCTCGGCTTGTAAAAGTCATTGGATTCCTGACTGACCTAAAGGTTATGATTGCTGCATGAGCTCAATCTAAATTTGTTAACCAATTTGTTGCCATAATCATTATGGTTTCGTCATGTATCGCGGCAATATATCTCTGGAGTAACGATCAAGCGTAAAATCTAGACTCTGTAAGAAAATGCTTTACGAACATTAAAGAAATTGTTATTTTGGTTGCGGTATGTTCTATCGCTTTTAAGTAACGATCTATCGTAACATTGGAACTGCAAGAACATGCTTCTTGTAATACACTCTGAATTTTAAAGGTGCTTTTTAAAATTTGTGTATGTCGTAGCCCCATTGCCCCACGTAACGACCAATCGCAAGATTACAATCAAGGCCATGCTTAAATCTACTTTAGATAATTTTGTTTTGATTTAAGTTCTTTCGATTTTTTGCTCCTGTTGTTCAGAGTAACGATCAATTAAAACTGCCAAATTATTCGTATTCTATATGTCATAGATTTAATTTGATTTCTACAGGAGGAAGAGATTGAAAAAAGGTTCACTTCACAATCGGTGGACTAAAAATCAACGCACTTTCGCGGGGTTTTAAGTTCTTGTCCTAGAGATACAGTTAAAAACTAAAGTATTTTAAGTATGTGAGAATGCATTTTTCCCGATCTATATTTCTTGATAATGCGACTAATGACAGCTTCCATCTAAAAGTAGTTAACAAAGGCCACACTTCAACCAGTCCAGTGTTTATTCTCGAGTTAAGAAACTACAAAATTATAAAATTTACTAGAAGTATGAATAACGGAAAGGACCTAAAGCCGTCGGTCTTCTGATTGCTTACTAACAAGCATTTATGCTTTCTTAGCAGTCAGGTAAAAAATAATCACCACCACCACCACCACCACCACCACCAGTTGTAGATGGCTTCCGAAAATGTCGTGGCATGTTACGATATTAATCGAGAGTGGATATACAACCTTTTGCTTCTGATATATTGTGATTCTTCTTGACCCCCAGCTGGTCTACCAGCCCTGGGACAGGTGTGGGGAATTGGGTGATATGCGATACGACAAGATGTACCCCTAGTTGTGGAATTCGGGCACTTAAAGAGAATGTTTCGTTCTGGTGGAAAATAATCTGCGAGCTCTCTCATTCATCGAGTAAAAATGCCTTCTGCAAATGGTTACTTTAAAACTGCCCTATTATTCAAAATATGAAGAAATCATAATCTTCTCTTCGTCCTGTTTTTTCGTTACTCTTTAGTTTCCCCTCCCTCTTTTTTCTTGCGAGGGTAGGACCACCCCACCGCCCTTTCGGCTATGCGCCCTTTTTTTTTGGGGGGGGGGGGGTGTAGGCAGTTGGAAGTCATCCATCAATAGCAATCCCTCTCATATTTTAAGATATCATTTATATGAGACTTGGGAAAAGAATTCTATACATTCTACATGTCTAATATTTTCTGTTCGACTATTTTTTTCTTCCAATATAGCAGCTCTCTATCCCGCATCTCATTCCGAGTCACCCGAACGGAATCATTCAGGGGAACGAGTCTACCGCCCTCTCGTGGCTCATCAACTTTCAGGGTAAGTCGAAAGCCGGGTCGAAAGTGTCGCTTGTTCTTTTTCTTCCCCCCCCCTTCTTCTTCTTCTTCTTCTTCTTCTTCTTCTTCTTCTTCGGTTCGTGGCAACAGACTTGTCAATCCACATAGACTAGAGACACAATTGAGGGTCACGTGATCATGGGCTAGAATGACATTTGTTTGATAAATTTCAGCGTTTGGGTTTTAAAAGTGTTGGGGATTTAATATTGATGATGCTGTCAGATAGAACTTGAAGGAATCTGTCCTGCAGTAGGTTTGCTCTCTGATTTTTAAAAACGTAAAAGTTTGTTCTTGTTTTTGTTTATTCTCTATACAGGAAATGTGGGGATGCCTCCAATAGATAGCACTGAGCGAGATGTTATCATGCTTGGAGCAACATCGCAGGTATCCACCAATCAGAACACGAAGGAGAATCACGTGACAGGAACAGCCAGAATGAAATCCCAGTGCAGAGCGAATATGGTCACGTGATGCCCAGAGCAGTTTTAAGAAAAAGATGTAAAATGTGTTCACCAAAGTTCAGATAAGAAGTTTTGTATTGAATACCAAATTCCATCAAAACAGAATGGAAAAGACCTTTGCAAAAAAGAAGAAGTAGATGATTTAGTTTTATTCTAAAAAATTAAATGTAATATTTTACATTTTATTTAGGTGTATTAGAAATTATTCAAACTTATCTATATCACATTCATTCCCCCCTTACGAATAAGAGCTTCAGCTCAAAATGGAATAGACAGATGCTGAAAGGATGAAGCCTGAAGGGTGAATAATAGCAAAGTTTGTTTTATATTTTCCTCTCCCGTCTGAATTCATCTATAGATATTTTAGTTATTCTATGGATTTTTTGAAGATTTGATTACTTTATGTGCTTGTTTTAAATTTTATTCTATTCTTCGAGTCCGACTTTTATTTCAGCAATCATAGATTGCATTTATTTCGACCTTGAGAGAAAAACAAGTATTGAAGAAAATACAAAAATAGGACAACGAAGATAAAGATATCTGTGTCTGGACAAATTTGAGATTTTTGTTTTTACCGGTGTTCAAGGTTTTGTTGTTGAAAGACCTTTTCAAGACGATTAAGAGAATATAATCTCGAGAAACCCAGTTGTTTCTTTTGATTATTTATTACGCATTTAGTAATAAGGAATGCATGAAAATAGTATTTGAAATTAGTTTTTTAAGAACGTATTTCCTTTCCTATATACGCTTGAAACAGAAGCAGCAATTTTATTTGATACAGTTTTAATGTTTAATTCTATTCGTCCCTTTTTCAGTCTTTCAGTTATCTTTTCTGATTTGATAAGTAAATCAGTTGCCATAGTGCCTGCCAAAGATGTTAGTACATGTATCACTTGTCCTTAACGCTTTTAAAAAGCTATATAGAAGCGAATTGATTTGATCTTGAACAATTGGGTTTAAAGGATATCATTTTTGTTTAATTTAGTGGAAAAAGAAAATAAATATGAGCATTTCTTTGGGATGTTATGCAGATTTAATAGAAAGGATGCCAAAATGACTTGGTTTATGATAAATTTTAGAGATAAAATATAAAAGAGACGATGCTGAAGTTATTTGAAAAAGTATGCCCAATCAATGTATTCTATTTGTTATTTTCCTGTATTATCGAAATCACTATGAGGTGTAGTTTTGATTTGAGTATGATTCGTTTATGAAACCCAAAAGCATTTTATCATGTGACGTTTAAAATACTTTTAAAAAAATATATACCAGCACCGAAGTTTTTACAAATTATTTTAGAGAACATTTTCATGATTTTGTTTTTGTTTTTTACTAGGACATGTTACTTGTAACGAATTTTGTTAACGATTCGGTCAACATTTAAAACGAATTTGAGAATTTAGTGTTTGATTTAAATGTTTTCCGTTAATGGAGCCTGTGCCTACCTGCTTATAACCCACTTCGGAGAAACTGTCTACGCGTAGGCAGATAATGGTAGTTTGTAAAATAAAAAATGTTAAAACCCACCGAAACGAATACCGGATACGTGCTCATGAAAGTGACATGATCAGTAATCAAATATGCACTGGTGGTACATTCTAATTATATACACAGGTGGAAGTATTCTTTTCAAGATTATTGTTGGCAGTGATTATTCTAAAAGGCACAAAGTGGGACCTCTCTATGTTTAATTGATTTGGGGTCATTTGTCTCCAAAACTCTCCCCTCTCTCCCTCTCTTCCTCTCTCCCTTCCCATCTATCTCTCTCTCATGGACTCCCTTGCATGCTGTAATGTCTGTCGTGGTATTTCGACTCATTTCCCTCTTCTCTTTCTCTGCATGCTCTGTCTTTCCCTCTCTCTCCAATCCCTCTCGTAGCATACACTAAACATAATATTAAACACACTGAACACCTAATGTACTTATACACTGAGGTTTGTTTAGAACAATTTTGATAATTATGTTTTAAGTGCATTGTCTGTTATATTCCTTGTAATGATTTGATCTGTGTGAGGTGGTATCATTTTATCCCAATAAAAGTCTATTGGATAAATAACCCTGACAAAATGGAGTTTTTCACATCCCGTGTTTGTTGCTTTGCTTTTGTTTTATATATGGATTAAAGAGAGAGAGAGAGAGAGAGAGTGTGTGTGTGTGTGAGAGAGAGAGAGAGAGAGAGAGTGTGTGTGTGAGAGAGAGAGAGAGAGAGAGAGAGAGAGAGAGAGTGTGTGTGTGTGTGAGAGAGAGAGAGAGAGAGAGAGTGTGTGTGTGTGTGTGTGAGAGAGAGAGAGAGAGAGAGAGAGAGAGAGAGAGAAAGAGAGAGGGAGAAAGAGAGATTATGAGAGACAGACATACAGAGACAATGGGAGAGAGAGAGAGAGGGAGAAAGAGAGATTATGAGAGACAGACATACATAGACAATGGGAGAGAGGGAGAGAGAGAGAGAGAGAGAGAGAGAGGGGGGTATAATTGTTGGTGAATGATAAGGTAGAGATAGTAGAGCAATCAAAGAAAGAAATAATAAAATAAGAAAGAAAGAAATAAAAATCAATAAACATAAATAAATAGATGAAATGAGTCCATAAATTCATTCAAAATGAAAGAAAGGGATGAACTACAGCCATGAACTATACACACTCTCTTCAGGCTTGGGAATCAAACGATCTGTTTCATGTGCTTCCGTTTGGAGAAAAAAAACAGCACTTCATCCTTTTTATTCAGTCAATTTGCACGGATCAAGAATTGATAATTTCGCTTTTATTCTCCAGGACTATGCATTTTCTTGCAAATTCAGACAGCTCCTCCTGAATAAACAATTTTTTCTTCGCATGCCTTGACTTGGAATTAAAAAGAACTTCTCGAACCAAAGCGGTCATTCATTATTGCAAATCTAGATCAGATAAACAAATAGTTAATTAAAAATGAGTTGATCTTTTAATAAAGAGGGAAAGATGAAGGAGGAGGAGATATTAAAACTTCGCGCGCAAAAACAACAATATTTTGGGCGCTCGTTTTTACTCTTTCTCCCCACCGGACGTACGGCGCGCCCCCGTTTTTTGAAGATTTTGCCCGAGGTAATGAATAAACCCGGCACACGCATTGGGAAAACGTTCGCCAACGTTAACACCGCGGATAGTGTTGGAAGGAAAATAACACGGCCATGATTCAATGCAAGATATTTTAGAGTGAGTAATTTTTGATAAATGGTGTCAGTCGTGGATTTAGGCAGTCATTATTGGTTCAGACTACACCTGCATCATCTATCAGACGCGGGAAATATATTAAAATGCTATTTTGAGATGCTTTGGTGAGTCGTATCATCTAAAGTTAAAAAGCGTAATGCAGCTGAGGAATCGTTAATATAATTTGAATGTCTAAGGCAAAATATAGCGCTACATTGAATGACGAATTTTGAATCTCCTTTTCAAAAAGAGAAAAAGAAGAAAAAGAAGAGTGTTTTAGAGTATAAGGAATATTTTTAGACCTATTGAGGTTTTAGAGGTTTGCATGGCTCGCGTTACTATGCGGTTCATAGATTTATAGAGATCCTATGATAGATCTGTGAGGTGCAGTTGGAAAACGCCATCACACGTCAAAGACATGAACATTGCGTTGCTCTCTTCCTTCTTCCTTACAATGCTTATCTCTCCCCATTTTCTTCTGCTTTCTCCCTTCAAATGTTCTTGTCCCTCTCTCTCTCTCTTTTTTCTCACCTCCTATCCCCCTTTCCTATTTTTTTCCCTTTACCATATTTGTTATGGACCATTCTATATATTATCTAGAAATCCTTAGTGTAATAATAATAATATTCGGTTCTTGTATAGCGCATATCACACGTCGCTATGCGCTTCCAAAGAGCTTTGGAAATTATTACCCTAGCTTTAGCTCCGGCAGCCTTTATCGGCGTATTTGTATTTCAAGGAATAATCCTACCAGGTACCCATTTACCTCACCTGGGTCGAGTGTGGCAAATGTAGATAAATAAGGATATTGCAAAGGGAATATAGGTTTAGGGTTAGAATTATTAAAAGCAAGGGATACATTTTGCTTGTATTGCTATTGGGGTGAACACTCGTGTATATACATGTCATGTGTTAATCAAATAAGTATTATTATGCTCAAATAAAACAATGAACTCACTTTACGTCTTTCGTGTTTGTAAAAGTATCATTAACGGTGATGTGTTTAAACTTTAATTCAAATATCTGCATTGTTATTAGCGTTTCAAAATATGCATTCTCTAAGAGATAAAGTTGAGTTTGGGGCCCCATTTTACAAAACTTGTCATCAGTGACAATTGGCAATTCTTGTTATAAGCTAGTGAAATCCTTGCTCCTGAAGTTCTGATTGGATATCAGCAGATTTTTCACTGATTTTTGTCATTTGTCATTGAAAAAAGGATTTGTGAAACGGGTCCCTGGTCATTTGATATAGAAATAGACTGCGTGGAAGTGATTTGAAAAGGCTGATCATGAAGTTCATAAGCAATGGAGAATACTGTGAGGTTTAGGAATCATCAAAATAATAAAATTGGCCCATTCTTGATAACAGTTACATGCACAGTACACCGAAATGTGAATATGATGGGACGACACAAGCATGTAGCATGAAAGTGTGGTCCACAAGCTACTCTTGTATTAGCGATTATTTGTCAAATTTTGAATATGAGGGCATTAGAAGAGCCATCCTTTTCAGGTTACGTTTTTCTTCTCTGATGCTCTTCCACACAAAGTTACATCATGCGAATGAAAAAGCCCACAAATTATTTTTCACCTTTCCCAGAAATCAACACACCCTCTAGATACCCATTATTATTTTCATACACAATGTCATGATGGAAAAAAGTTACATTTTATTGTCAGTTATTTCAGTGCTTTGTGTGCTGGGTATCGATTCAAACAAAGTACAAACATTTGACTAAAATATACACATAGAGGTTCCCCCTTTTACTTAATATAGTATTCAGCACTATAAAATTGCACGAAGAGACAGAGAAATAGAGAGAGAGAGAGAGAGAGAGAGAGAGAGAGCGAGAGAGAGAGAGAGAGAGAGAGAGAGAGCGGAGAAATAGATAGACGGATGCTTTACGTTCTTAAATCTTTAAAGGGGAACAGTCACGCAAAAAAATCAACCCAGATTCGTACGCGTCATTGCATTTAAAGCATAAAGGAATTAATAATTTTGCCAATAAGTAAAGGGTAAAAAATAACGTCTAAGCTCTCTCTTACGTGTTCGAGCGCGTCGATTTATCTACTCCATAGTCACGAGTATATTTGACCGCTATTTACAGTGAAATGTTGGTAAAAAAATATATATATATCTTTTGCAGAATCAGTTTAAAGTTGATGATTTTAACATAATGTGGTATATCCAGAGAAAATATATTTTGTTAATAAGTGCCACACTTCAAAATCTTATATCGGGTTTGGTCATCATCGTGATCATAGATTTGTACGAAATTGGTGCGGGATGTTAAAGAGTTGTGATAGAGGCGGTCGTTATTATAGTCCCTCGCTCGTGTTCTCGCCCGCCCGTTGGGTCTAAACCCCAGAGCTAGCTAGCTTCCATGACTGGGGAACATGTAAAGAATATACTAAGACTGACCGTCTAGCTAGCCATCCTCGTGTCCCATATTAGCCCGAGACTAACTTTTATTTGGGTCAATCGCTCTCAATCAAACTGACTTCCTGCCAAAATTACACAATCCCAACAATGGTCGTCACGCGCTAGCCATTGTGACGTATGAAGGCGCGGACACTACACGGGGGACCGTCCCGTGGGACGGGGCTTAGCTCTACCCTGGACCGGTCTCCCACCCGTACCAAACAAACACTGTGTAACGCGCGCGTGAGCCGCGGAAATGAACCCGCGAAAGAAGTTCCGTCAAAATTCGTAGGAGGCACTCCCGTACGCACGTCTACACGTCTCATATTCACAGCCGCAATCACCCTTCTCTCGTATCCTTCTCTCTACGGCTTTTTTTTTTGCTCCGTTTTTCTATTTTTGTTTCCCTGGATTTTTGTGTGATGTCCGGAGTGAGTACTCATGTGAGCATTGATGAAACAAATCTGAGCTTTTTAATCTCCTCGTTCGAGGGGGGTTTAACTTGTTTAAATGGCCTCTGGCTTGTTTTTTGAAGGGGAAACCGAGCGGAAAGAGATAAATAGCGGAGCTCTCGCCGCAGAGCGCGGTGCACGTGTTCGCATAGAGCGAGCAGGGTGCGCGCACGTGGGCAATAACACAGCAATAACGCACAGCTAGGCGCGCACATCAACTACGTCGCCTCCACGTGCGAGTTTGTTATTCACCCCGCATGGGGAGTCCGTTATATTGCGGGCGATTATAGAAGTGGCGGAGAAACACGAGACGGGGGACGAAATCGAATATCGACTTTTGCGAGGGTGATGAGGAAGCGGTTTTACTGGTAGTTCCTAATCGTATCAAATATAAAGAGAAGATAAAATTGGGTGAGAGATAGAGATAGACATAAAGGCAGGGATTCTTGCACGTGGGAAAACAAGATACTGCAGCTCCGATGACGTCATTGAATTAATAAAATCTTGATTGATTAGTGGATGCTCCTGTATCGATTAATTCTTTGATGATAGCAAATATAGTCATGCGTCCCGAAGCAATTGCCTTTTCACTCAAAACAGAACTAAAAAAATAATGTTGCTTTACATGAAGTTTACAGTTCTAAGATTTGTTTAACAGCTAGAGCAGCTACCTCCGGACAATAACCAGCCTAGGTCATGTCCCGGGATCGTTTTATCCTATCGGACAGTAAACACCTGCGCAGACTTTACTTGTCAAATCGGAGATGATCAATATAGCGTCGTATACAAAGGGTTTTCATTCACTTTTGATTTGTCGTTAATGCATCACAATACAGGTTTCATGACACACAGTTGATGTGGAATTGTTCACCTTTAATAGAGAGAGAGAGAGAGAGAGAGGGGGTGGGGGGCGGGGGCAACAGTTAATCATGTAACACCTACATTATTTCAGGAGTAATTATTAGATGTACACAGCTGCGGTATCGCCCCATTCATTAAAATAAAAATCTATGAACATTTGAGGTCAATTTTTACCAGGTATTTACTCTACACAGAATAGAATACCATACAAAGACAGTTGATTGAGGCGTACTACACTAAAACAAAACATTTAAAAAAAACATTAAACAATAATAATAATAATAAGGTCTCAATTGCTTTTTAATGGAGCCAAACGTCTTCTGAATTAGCTTATTATCTGTCATCAAAAGCAAGCAATGTTTCTGTATTCATGGTAACGTCCGGCCTATTCTATAGTTTGATTAAACGTCATCAAACACCTTCATCATCGAGAGCAGACGGGCCGCTTAAAAATACACAATAAATATGAATAAAATCCTTTTTATCATAAAATGAATCACCATCTTTATCATTACCATATCAAGTTACTTTTGAAATCTTACCGTCAATTTATTGTGCATTCTTTGCTGCCAATATTTCTTTGGTAAGAAATTCTTCTTTACTGTCTTTGTTGTAAAATATATTTGTACCATTTGATCTGTATTTCCTCCGTGCTCCAGGTAACGTAGGGCTGTTAAAAATAAAACAAACTTTTAAAACCTTTCCAGCACCAGCACCAACAACATCATCATAACCATCATCGCCATCATCACCACCACCACCACCACTTGTAGCACCACCACCACTACCGCCATCATCATAACCATCATCGTCATCATTACCACCACCATCACCACCACCACTACCACCAGCACCACCAATACCACCATCATCATAACCATCATCGCCCTCGTCACCACCACTATCATCACCATCACAATCACCACCATTACCACATCCACCAACAGCATCATCATAATTATCATCGCCATCATCACCATAATTATTATCATCATTATCATAACCACCACCACCAGCATCACCACCAGCATCTTTATAATCACCATCGCCATCATCACCGCCGCCACCACCACCATCATCATAATCATCATCGCCACCATCAACATCATCATCATTATAATCATCATCATTATCATATTCAGTGCAGATAAATCACAATTATCAAATGACTGTTCAGTTTACACATGTACATACTCGTATAACGATTGCGTAGCTTACGCTTTTATTTCATAATATACTCTTACAATGAATAAAAACATTTCGAATGAATGTATCTTGCAGTGTACATAATGAATACTGACATCAGCGAAAGGAATGGTCAAAAGAAACATGATTCTTTCAAAATTGTGAAAACGACTACCTTTACAGTAGTTGTAAAATCAAAATATTGAAGATTCGTATAATAATATTAATCACGCTTTATTACACCCATGTGATAGGGTGGATAGAAGAGAGAGAGAGATAGAGAGAGAGAGAGAAGGGGGGGGGGGTGAGATGAAAGCAAAAGAGGAGAGAAAGAGTGAGGGAGATAGGAATAGAGGGGATACAATAAAGAAAGAGAGAGAGAGAGAACCCCAAAAGAAAAGAGATAGTGTAATAGAGAGATAAAGTCAATAACTAAGAAAGAATACAAATGTGCAGATAAGGCGACAGAGAGACATAAAGAGGCCACAAAATGATATTCAAACTTCAAGATAACAGAATAAGTGATATAAGAACATTTGCATTGCAAAACCTTTGATAAATGCGTCAATGTCAGATATTTGTCACCATAACAGAATTGCAAATGAATCGGGAATTCCGCAATCTTAAATGAAAGCTGTAAAACGGATTGGCGTCTTGTAGTTGGCGCCGCACAGTTATTCTGCACACACTTTATCACTTAATGTTATTTTCTATTTCATAATTTATTCTTTGGCCATCTTCAAAATAGGATCACAATGAGTATTTATGCCCATGAATCTAATATTTGATGTATCTTTTAGAACAGTATATGACATTTTGTTCATTCCTTTGACGTAACAAGTTTTTAGTACTATAAAGATTTGCTGCGGGGAATGTCAATGAAAAACTTTGATTTGTTCTACCGCATACCAAAACAAAAAGAACAAAAAGAAAAGAAAAAGAAAATGGAGAACGGCTTCAGTTTTGAACAGCAAATATTTGATAGAATATCCTGTTGAACGATCTTTAATTCACACAATTCAAAATCATCTCTCCTCTACCCCCTCCCCGTGATTATCGCTGTAATCACTTTCAAATCAAGTAGAATTAAAGTAATAAGATTACAATCTCGCCACATGTCAGCAAAATGTCACCCTGAAAATAAACTTCCTTCCCACCAATAATGTTCCAGTCATGAAAATATGCGAAAATCTGATAATAAAGAGAGTTAACTCCCTTTATCCTCTGCGATTTTGTTTTTGCGCTTCACCGCACTTGTAAGACACCTGCTATGTGGCATCACCACCCCCAGAGTTACGGCGAGAGGTGTTAAGTAACACCCGCTAAATTTCCAATTACCGACATCGCTCCTACAGCGCACTTTCCTCAATGTTACGTGCTATGAAACATTCCCCTTACAAAATGATACCAAAGCCCTCATGTAAACTATTTTCTTTTTTGTTTCTCCACATTTTGGCTGTTCTTGGGCTTATGCTTCGTAAATTGTATCTTTTTTTTCTATATGACTCTTGCGAAACTTTGTGAAGTTGTAATTGTATACAGTTGCGCATCTTTAGATGTTGACATGTAGACGGAAGGGTGCCAATTTATCTCTCTTTATGGCAGATGGAGAAAAAAAGATGTTTTCTGAAAACATTATTCCCTTGCTCCTTTGGGGCAGGACTGCATATAAAAATATGGCATGTGGGTGTGTAGTTTGGCCACTGTTCTATACCTGTAATGTATATAAGTATTTTAAAAAAAGATCCCCTTAAAATACGAATATAGACAATAAGATAATAGATTGTAATGAGGAGAGAAGAAATAGAGAGGAATAGAGAGAGAAAGAGAGAGAGAGAGAGAGAAATAGGAGAGAGAAAGAGAGAGAGAGAGAGAGCGAGAGAGAGAAATAGGAGAGAGAAAGAGAGAGAGAGAGAGAGAGAGACAGGGGGGGGGGGGGGGGGTTAGCACACAACAATAGAATGTAACCAAACGATAATTTTGTTTATAAAAAAAAACACGTACACTGTACAGCCGCTACATGAATATCAGTTTGTAATGAGGCAATGATATTGAACAGCTTTCAAAACACATCCTCGCTCATGAATTTCTAAATTAAATCTCTCTTTCTTGATATTTACAAAATATACATGTATATACATTATAAATCAGAATTGCACATTTTTTTAGCACACATTAATATCTGCTGCCGTACAAGTAGACACCATTATAAAGCAAGCACTACTCCCGATATTATTGATAAATTCCAGGCAAGTTTGTAAACTTAAAAATACCACCAAAGAGATTGTGTAGTTTGGTAATCAAATTATTTATAACCAACAATACATTTTGGTTAAATTATTCTCAGGAACACCTTGGAAGGTCGAAGTTCAAATGATTCTCGCTTTGAAAGATTTGAAATCTAAGGAACTGAATATGCGGTTCCTGAAGTGCCGATATTTTCCCCTCATAATATCGGAAGAAGATGCCTGTGATGGTTGAGGTGAATCCACAATAAGAAATAACAATTTTATAATCATACAATTTCGGAATGTAAGAGTTGTTTTGTTTCGGATGAAGAATGACGAAGTCAAATTTTGTAAAGATTCCTTTATGAGAATTCAGCACTCATCACAATCTCTATAATCAGCCATGTTTTAGCGTTTTGAAATGATCTAATAAAATTATTTTCGTTTCAAAACTATGTTCATCCATAAAGCTTCTTGAGTAAAATAGGTGATGTGTAGTCCAAAGGGCGACTCCGATAACTGTTTTACAAAATAATGCCACAAAGAGTTGACGACCAGATGCCGAAAAGCTTAAATTGTTTGACAAAAATCTGAATAAATGATATTTATTTCTCATCTCCCTCGCTGCTATGGTAACCACTTTCTTTCTCCTCCGGTTCTCCACAGTTGTTTTCTTTCTCCCCTTCATCACCATCGACGATCACGCCCTGCAACTGCTTGATGTATCGAATAGCCATCCTCAATGTTTCGACTTTACTCATACGCTTCTCCGGGTTGTCGCACGGGAGGTGTTCCCTCAAACGCGCGTAGCCTTCGTTGACATTCCTAACGCGCTCCCGCTCGCGTTCGTTGCGTCTTCGGATGAAACTCGGCTCGAGATCGTAGAATCCGAATGGGTTCGGGAGTGGGACATAGCTATGCCCGTAGTGGCTGATGAAGGAGCTAGCGTAGCGAGGGTCGAGGTAGTTTGGTACGGGGAAGGGGACGTCGGGGTTATTTGATGATGGGTGATGAGGGTCTCTGATGGGGTACATACCGCCCGGGCAGTCAGGGAGAGGTATACCCAGCTGGACGCAGGTCGGCGTCGAGTACAGCGCCGACTCCGAATGAGATTCTTCCATCATCATCGACATCATCGGGGAAAATTTAAGCGTGGTCAATGATCACCGAAAATTGAAGATTTTCTCGCAAGTCCTTGATTTGTTTCTCCAACCGTTACACTGGTTGTTAATGCAATCTTTAAAATATTTGTTGATATATTTCGGCAGTGAAAAAGACCGATGATTTCATAGACAACCGTACATACAGAAAGTAACGTACGGAGCACCTCCGATCCCGTCAAGCCAATTCTGTTTAAGAAAAGAAAGAGAAAAGAAAGAAATATAATTATAATCAGCTGATAATTTCGATTGTGTAATAGGCCAACATTGTTGTAGTTCAAATATTGCAATATAATTTTTGCATAAGACAACTGTAATTGTAATCATAATATTTTGACTTCAATATTTGAGAGTAAAGTATTACTACTCGTCGCATCTATTTAGCTTCCAAATTCTAATAGCTCTCTATTTGTTTGTTGGAATTCCACCTGTTAAATGGCACCATATTTTGTTTCTCGTAAAACTCCTTGTTGCCAGCACGCAGATTTATGTCTAAAAATAATATTATCATAATCTGTATCACTATAGCATAATTTCACGTTTTTTTATCATTAAACATTTTTACTATTATCATTATTGTTATTATCATGATTATTACTGTTATTGTGATCATCATTATCACTCTAATTAAGAATGATGATGGGTATGATAATATTGATAACAATATTATTGCTATTATGATATATGATGATATTGATAACAATATTATCAATGTCATTTATATTTTTGTTATAGATTTCAGTAATATAAGTATGTAAAGATCATAATAAATCTTTAAAATCTTCATATCAATATTTTAATTTTTTTTTTATAGAAAATTGCATTTCACAATGTCGTACTTTATGACATGTTTTTGGAAGTATGATGAAAAGCTTGGAGAGATGAGTTCGCTCTCCCTGATCATAATAATACGATGGGATTCTATCATTCTAATATTATACTGATGGATGCTTTTGACGATGACTCAGGATTGATTTTAAGAAATGAAATCGATAAATCTCTCCCTCCTTGTTTTCAAATTCCACTCCCCCATTGTGGCCGTTCAAATGCAATACATCGCACTAAATGCAAGTGAATGCATTGCCATTGATTTAAAAAAAAAACGAAGTGGGATAGAGAAAAATATGTCTTACGATCTATCGTCAAGGGAGGAATGACTACATTTCTCATTACAATTTTGAAAAAAAAAAGCAGTTATTTTTTTGTTAAATCTTGGATTGTGTGTAATCGCTGCCTCATTTTTTTCGGGCGCGAGGATTTTTTTCTTCGGTTCTGAACAGAAAATGATATTTCGTCGTTTTAAGGAGTTTACGCGTCAGAGTTTAGAAGTTTGAATACCAGTATAAAGTAAATAAATAAAGAATATGTTTTTGGATATGAATATAAATTAGCAGTTCTAAGTATACCTTAAATGATTGTATCTCATAGATAAAACGATATAACATTTTCCGTTCTGATACCATTCATATGGTTTGAATACAAAACAATTACTTACAGATGAATAGGGAGATCCTTTTTTATGTTATCGTACAATATATATAGGATGCAATTCTGATGACAATGGTGAAAAATGAGTGGACGAGTTGAAGAAAAAAACTGAAAAGGTAAAGGAAAACTGGGGGAAAAATACGCCAGTCATATTCAACAATCTTTAAGTTAAACTACAGAAAGTGACATGCTACATTAAGTGTAACATAAAGTCGTCACCATTCATTCTGTTTCTATATCCATGATAACTGCATGTTATCATGTGAAGAAAGATCAAATGAATGATTACGGTAGGAAACACAGTTTATTGTATAAGACTTATGATAGACATCATATTCCTCGAGCTACACGTTATTGCGGCCTCGATATCAGTCTGTGAACCGTGCATATACATGTACATATTTTGTGTATCTGTTTTGCTTTCTGTTTTTCATTAAACTCTTGGTAGGCCAGTAAATGAAATGTATAAATAAAATAATGGCTTGTATAAGCTATTACCGCCATGTTATCTCTTCAAACTTCCGCACACTATTAGGACAATTTCAATAACGTTTCTCCATACAATATTTAACACGGCTGCAATAATTATATTAGTTGCTGTACCAAACTGAAATCGTTTTTACCACGAACCACAGTTATGACGAATTTTAAAACTCAAAATATAAATACAATTTTTAAAAATATACTAAGCACTTTGTGCCGGTCTGCATCTCTTGTTTAATGCTGACAAGACCAATGCATTGGAATGGATCAATAATTATTTGGTGTTGTTTCACTTTGTGCCGAGTTGTTTATCTTTTTTTATGATGTTGAAAAGAACCATGCATCATTATATTATTTGAATGAGTAACAAATTGATGTAGATTCAATTTCTCATTCACTTAATGTCAATTTCATCCATTTGTAAAATGCTAAAAAGAAACATCCACCATTATAAATTTGAATGAATTAAATTTTGTTTTATTGATGTAAATTCAAATATATATATATATCATGCAAATTGTGCCGGATTGTATCTCTTTGTTATAAAGTTGAAAATAAACATGAATCATTTATACATTATAGTGAATTATTTTCTTTTATTGGTGCTAATTCAAACCGTTTCATTTCACTTCTATAACAGATCAAGTAAGGCAGGTCTCCGTTATTCGGACTCTTCACACCACCAACGAAGGGTTTACTATCGCGGAGTTGCGGCCTAGGGCACGAGCGACGGGTGGTTTCCGTTCCCCAAGGATCTCGGCTGCTTTCGAAACACCGCCGCTTAGTTCAGAGTACTCACATTTGTTCAAAGTATTTTTGTTTTTTTGAGAGAATGGTTTAACTCAAAAGCTTTAATTTGACATCGAGAGATGTAAAACATTCCAAATATTGGAATAGAGAAAACACTTGTTGTGACGGAATCCCAATATTGTTTTTGTTTCATGTTTATCAAAGGTATTATTTTGTTTGCTTTGAGCGGTATTTGGAAATTGTTTAAAAGAAAAAAGAAGAAAAAACGGTCGAGTATTCACGCAGATTAATGCAAACATATATCACATATAAATGAGGGATTTAATGAGATCTAAATATGGAAGCTAACAATATGTTTGAAGAAAATTCCACGAAGGAATTAAAAGCAAACTAAAGCAAGTTTATACGAGTCTCAGACAAGAGAAACCCAAAGTGATCAAGACTATAACAAAGGTAAGCTAACAAACAAATTAATGTACCCTTAAATGCCCTGGTCAAAACTTGAAATTTGTATAATTTAAACGGAAGTAAGTATTGGGAAGAAAAAATATATATACATCTATAATGCAAAGGGTGGGATGAAGAACAAACAAATAATTGGTTAGCGTACATGGAAAAAATTCAAACATGTTGTTGCAATATAAATTAAAATACAGAGTATAAGATGACGAGAGAGGTGAAGGTCATAATTCAATTGTATACAAAACATAAAGACAGGATGGGGAGGGGTCAACTTGGTCGTAATGAGTCATATTTTCGCGTCCTTTAGATTTTCTACGGACATTTTTGTTGTTGCAAACGTTAAGCCGTATATGATTTTAAACAGAAGCATTTTGCGAATTATGCGATCCCCCCGAAATGTTGTTTGTAGTCCGCGATTTATTCACAAGTATGCTTTTGAATGTGATGAAATTTAGAGTTTTCTTAGTTTTTAGATTAAATTAAGCACCGGATTGACGTCATAATCGAGTGGCACAATTAATCTATAATCGTTTTGAAAACGGAACTCTACGTCTTCAAATAAAAATGAAATATTTTGTTTAACACCAGTGATGGCCATCTTCATACTCGAGAAGACAAAACAAACAAACAATACAAACTACATTGTTTATTGTTAATTTGTGATTACACGCAAAACCATACCACTTGTTGATTCTCTTGTTGATATAATTGTTTTATTTATGTACTGTGAAACAAAATGTATATGAATGAAGTTTACTAATACATTTCAATTTCAAATCGACAGGAATTTAAAGGAGCCAGGAAACGTGACTAGAAAAAAATAATCTAAAAGAAAATTAGTGTAGATACTGATGGATAAATATGGTACTTACCAGAGAGAGAGAGAGAGAGAGAGAGAGAGAGAGAGGGAGAGACAGAGAGAGGGAGAGAGAGAGGGAGAGAGAGAGAGAGAGAGAGAATAATTTGGGATGGTCAAGTACTGTATCATCTAACTAACACAAAAGTTTAAACTTAGTGTAGGTGTTCCGAACATAACAAAGCATTATAAAGTGATACAGTATGACACGCCAAGCGATAATCATGTACGACATGATCATATCTCACATGTCATAAATAAACTTAACAGAATATAACAAATAAGAGAAAAAGACACTTATGAAATTATTCTAACGAATACATTTAAGATTTCAGCAATCCCAAAACACCAAGAGTATTTTGCATCTCAGATACTCACCAAAAGTACGGCAAGAAATATGTGTCCCTCCAGTTTTGACAAACACTGAACGCCGGACAGGTTGGCGATTAACTCTGCATGAAAGCGGGCTTTCAAAAGAAGATTCGCCTTCTTCAAACGCTATACAATCTCAATTTCTTCTAGATGTCTTCTTAGGAACATTAATTTGCAGACTAATTATTGATTCCTGCTAGGAATGCAAGTTCTGGAAAAATTGAACGAAAGCGGTTCGATGGGTAGTCAATAAATCGTCAGCAATAGTTTTTCTTGCTTCAAAATCGTCATCGCATTCGTTGTCGTCGTCGTCGTTCCAAAATGACGGTTTCCTGCCGAGCCGTGAGAGATGTTTTCAGAAGACAGATATGACGAGTTCTCGACTTGTTAGTGATGACGATTTATTTTGAAATGTTGCCCGTCGTCAACATAGAGGTGCAACCCCCGTGAGATGAGATTCAGACTGTTGTCAGAATGTAACATGTCAGTTACGTTGCAAGAAGAAAGTGCAGTGGTTTCATCAAAATAGATTTTAAAAAGGGGTACCACCTCCTATTAAAAGATCAAGTCTGCAATGAGGTTGATAAATATCTAAGCATTTGAATGATTGAGCACAAAGTTGTTCTCTTGTGAAAAGAAACGTGTGTTGAAGTCGGATAGCAGTCTAAAGAATGACAGAACACCATTCGTCATAATATACGTCACAAAATATTGGTTGTCAAAAAGCGAGCTGCTTTACAAAGTACAATCTAAGCCAACCGCCTTGTTATTAGAAGGTTGGTTAAACCCAAATGACTTCCCCGGGCTTTTCGGATCGCCTTTTATTCCGAGCGGTCCTAGCATACCACCCTTTGGCTGAATTTCGTTTTGTCTTTTCAACCTCTTTTCTTCCTCCTCGCGCGAGCCGCTTTTGAAAGCACCGTTATTTCCAATATTGTTTGTATTTAACCACTATAAATAACTCTCTCCACCCCCTTTCTCCAACTCTTTTTTTCTTCATCGGCAGACACGCGAACAACTTCACGCGTTTGTTATGCAAATCAGTGCGCAGCCAGCGAACTGGGCATTAAGTTTGTGTGTCAATTCCCCCCTACACACTTTCATCGTATGAAATTATTGTGCGTCGACTATCAACACCATTAACGTGACTTGTTAATTAATCATACGGACACTGCGCATGCGTCGGCGCCACGCGCCCCCGAGAATAAACCATCGAAATCCAAGTAAGTAGAAGGATTTTCCGAGACCGCTGAATTGCACCGCCGTGCGCCATCTTGGATAGAACGAGCGTTGTGAAAGCGAACTGCGACTACGTGCTATGTGTATGCTCAACTTTGTCTGCAAAATGCCATATTGTGCAGCTTTCAACTGCACCAATCGCCTTAAAAAGAGGCTCTGGAATAACCTTTCATAGTTAAGTGATCACTTCATTAAAAACATGGCAAAAATAAACAGTTTTGCATGATAATCCGAACGCAGAAAGCCACAGACTAAAGCGTGTATTTGTACATCGGTCCCATCTATTCATTTCCATGTTTGTGAACTGTTTTCGCTCGAGTTCAATGACATCGGCTATGAACTATCGAAAATATTGAATTCCACAGAGCTGCAAAGTATTATAAACCGATAATATCGAATACATGATATCCAGAGAATACTGTACTGTTTTTTTTTTTTTTTTTTTTTTTTGGGGGGGGGGGGGATCATTGGGGCATAAGCAGGTCACTTTCTTTGTTTGACTTGGTGAAACTTGGTTCAAGTTACTTTGAAGATTAACTTGAACTTATGAACATGTTGCATCGCGGCGCTGGTATTAATAGTGACACAATTTCCCGTGAGTCGTCAGACTTTCAAGCATTATTGTAAGAAATTTACTGGAATTTACTCAAAATTTACACCTTAATTTTGGACATTTAAATTGTTGTAAAACACAAGAAATTTTACTCATCAAAGTTGGTCATTGTGAAAGTTACGGCCTGTCAGTCATGGCAGTTAAAGAAGCTACCTGCATGAACCTTCCTACGTCCTCTAAAACTTACTCCTCAGATGAATATGTGTAGATTATGTAGTGATTTCATATGGCCTAGTAAAGCACAGCACTTGAAATACAAATCAAGACAAAAAAACACCAGGCAATATTTTGCGAAGCTCCCATTACTCTGGTACATGTATATCTTTAAAGACATATACATTTTGAAATATATTTGGGGATTTCTGCTGTAAAAGGGTAAAAAATTGGTCAATCTTATTTATGTGTATTTTTTTACATAATATTTCACCATTGATGAAATAAATATACTAATTCAAACAGACTACTTCATCTTCTCCTTCCCACTGAAATGACAGAATGTGCACTACAGGGATAATATAGTATACGATATTTATTACGATGTTTGCCCTATTGGTCTATTTTGTGTTTTATACATCTAGGCTGAATGAATAAGAAATGTGCCGGTATAAACATAATGTGCCATGATTGCTTGCTTGAGGAACGTTTTTTCCACACCATTGAGGATTTTTTTCTTCATATCCACCATTGCAATAGTTCATGGATGTTTTGATATGTACTGTATACATTCATGTAATACATAGCGCAATGCCAAGGTTAAAAAAACAACTTAATAAAGATGAAAGTATTCACAATTATGTGGAAAGACATGTGAATAGTTGCCACAATGTGTCATTACTTAACACTTCTTAGATAAATCTTTAATATGCCTATATGGGATGAAAATAATGATGATCTGGCAGCTAAATGGTAGCCTCCCAAGGGAAAGAAAAGAAATAATATTAATATTCAGTGGGCCTACTTCTGCAGTGCCAAGAATCAAAGGGATAGAGAAAGAGAGAGGGGAGAGAGACAAAAAGAGAGAGGGGGAGAGTGAAAGAAAAAGGGGGAGAGAAAAAGAGAAGGGGATAGAGAGAAAGAGAGAAAGAAAGGGAGAGTGAAAGAAAAAGAGAGGGAGAGAGAGAAGGGGATAGAGAGAAAGAGAGAGGGAGTAGAGAAAGGGGTAGAGAGAAAGAAGGGGAGAGGGGGAGTGTGAAAGAAAAAGAGAGGGAGGGAGAGAAGGGGATAGAGAGAGGGGGAGTGGGAAGAGAAACACAAAGACTGAGAATTTACGAGTGTGTGTAAAGAGAAAGTGGGAGTGATTTATATAGATAGAGCCTAAATAATTTGATATATTCTTTCTATCACAGAAAGAGACAAAACTAGCCTAATACCACAAATGATATTTAACAAATAGTCTAGCTCTATAGTAGTCTTTATGCAAAAAAAAACCCTAAAATTTCAACTCCCCTACTGTCCAAGCTGCCGCTCTTATTCCAATATTCAAGTCATCAAACATCTGTATGGGACTTGGAAAAGGGCATAAACAATATATGTAAAGATATTTTTCACTAAAACTAACAATAAAACCCTGGTTTCTGGACGTCCCTTGTACACAATACGTATGCGCAGGCGATTTCTTGTACTACGCAAAATGGCGGCGGGCGCACTCGAGCGGTGCCATTGCGCTGCGTGAAACGTGAACGGACACAATCCTTCTACTTGGTTTGAGTTCGTTGGAATAAACCCGGTGCCGATCCAGTGGATAGTTTAATTGGTCAGTACTCTGCGATTAGCCGGTCAATTTGCCGCGAACTTTTCCCCTTCTTTTCTTCTTGGCGCCTCCCTTTTGATATAATCTGCGACCATCGTCCATTTCTGTTCGGTTTATCTAAACGACGTTTGCCTCCTTACGCCCGATTCAGTCCACTTGCCAACGGGTACGCTGCCGAGGGGCTGCCGATGGTCCGCTATCCCGTGCATGCATAGGGCTTGGAAGTAGATCGCGCTTGCAGGTATTTTGACGGGGGAGTTTTCTCCGATGACAGCTTATTAAATCTCGTCCGTGAAAGAGGCACGAACCTAGTTTGTTTATACAACAATGGAACGTCGACTGGTTATTACACGTTGACAAATGATTGTGTTTCAGTGATTTATGTGTTACAACGCATTTTTTTCTTTCTATGGCGGTATTAATTTTCGTTACTCCTCTTTTATTTACTTATCATAATCCTTCGCCGTTCTCTCTTATACGAAAAGAAAATCTCTTCATCGGCTTGAATCAATCAAAATAGTAATTTCAATAACTGAGTGCAAGGGTGAAATCCAAAAAGATGACACTTCAAAAGAAAAATGAAATTGTAATAGTTGAAAGCATCGAAGGAAACGGATGAGCTGATGGCTGGTGGCGGCGGTGGTATGGGGGGGGGGGGGGGGGAGAGGAGGGAGGGTTACTGAATTAATCGTGTTAAGAATAAAGTTGATGAGTAAAATTTGACATGTGGTTAGAGCAAAAAATATACATTGGTTTGATGTGGGGTGTATTAGCAAGTAGATTATAATTTTATTCGTCGGTTTTTATCGAGGCTTTTTTTATTTTGTGATAATTTACTAAACAGGTCGGGTTACTCATATTCAAATTGTTTAAATGAAAACAAAATCAAATACGATTGCCATCCTTCTTCTCCTTCTCCTCCTATTCACCTTAATCACCATCATCGTTGTCGTCATTATCATCATCATTCTCATCATCATTACTACAAGCCTTATCACCACCACCTTCCTTATTAGCAGCAGCATCATCAATCCCGCCACCATCAACTCCATCACCACCACCACCAACATCACCACCACAATCATAATCATACCATTAACATTCTCTCTCCATCTTTCTCTCTCTCTATATATCTTCTTCTCTCCTCCTCGTCCTTTTCAAGGCTCAGCACTTTAACCATAAGAAGAAAAGAGAAAAAAGAAAAGAGGTGGTGAGAAATATATAAACTTGAAATACGAATAACAAAAGAAGAAAAGTGAAAAGAAGATAGAGAGAAATAGATAGAGAGAGAGAGAGAGAAGAGAGAGAGAGAGAGAGAGAGAGAGAAAGGGAATAATAAAGAGAAATAGAGAGAGAGAGAGAGAGAGAGAAAGATAATAATAAAGAGAAATAGAGAGAGAGAGAGAGAGAGAGAGAGAGAGAGAGAGAGAGAGAAATAGAGAAAGAAATTGAGAGATGCAACTCTCTCAAATTGACGAGTATCAGTCGAGCCTCAACCTGAGCGGCATCTCACAACTCTTCTCCCCCGACACTTCGGCTCACCCTAGGTGGTAACGTGGGAACCTAAACAACTCGCAATGATACACAAACAACATGCGATAGAGATACCCGCCATGGAACACAACTTGTTGTAGCGACAAAGAACAAATCTTTTTCTTTCTGTTCGCTGTCACTGTTGTGCAAACTGACAGTCAGGTATGCCGAACAGGTAGATCGTTTTCCTAAAGTTGGCTAATTTGTGAAATTGTCTTCCTTGGGAATTATGCGAAATTGCTATGATCGGAAACAGTTCTCCTGGTTCAAACTATGAAATAACTTTCATACCTCGAGGCCAGTTAAAAATAAAACTGTTGAACTCATCACACACCCATCTTAGAACTTTAGCCAAACCGTATTATCCAGAGTCCTGAATATTCCACTATGGTAAAACAAATTTATTTACATGTGAGTAAAATAAAGAACATTGTCGGCTTCCTATATTTGATTCTTTGAAATTATTATCATATTAAAAACAACATATTTGTAAGAGGGTTATGTACAAAGCAGTTAATTTTGGAAAAATAAAGAAATCACTAGAAAGAGAGAGAGAGAGAGAGAGAGAGAGAGAGAGAGAGAGAGAGAGAGCGCGCGAGAGAGGGGGATGTACAGACAATGAAAGACAGAGACAGAGATCAGGGGGGAGGGGGTTAACCATCTTGGAACTTGGGGGCACAAAAGTGTACACTTTTTAATGGAGCGTGATGGGTGAACACCAGACGAAAGATTATCATGGGGGAG